CCTGACCCAACACCAGATCGGCGATAGGCCCGAGCTGAGCCAGTGCACCTGGGAGTTCTAGATTTTAGTTTCCATGGAGACGCCTTGGCTTTTCCCGCATTTTTAATGTCTGTGCAGGTGACGTGCCTCATGTTATGTTATGCACTTTTCAGGAGCCAAGTGAGGAAAAGCACCTTTAAAGGTAATCCAGTTAGACACAATGGAGCTGTAAGTGCCTCCTAATGTCCTTCAGGCTGCCCAGTAAAGTTAATTTGGAGAGTGTTAATGCAGCCTTACGAACTTTCTACGAAATCTCAGGCTGACCGCACAGACCTTAAACATTTGCAAACCTTAACGTTACTGTTTTTCGTCGCTGAAAGATATTCCTGACTGAAGACACGGAAGGGAATTAAGGGGACAGGACAAACAAAGTGGCCCTGGATGATTGCTTTCGGAGAATCTGTGAATCATGTGGATTTATTGATGACAAATTAGCAGCAGGAGCGACCTTGGGAAGACTAAGAGTAGTTTCTCACTTTAAAAGCGACACTTCCTCTGCTGGAAACACACAGCCAGGTCCGCACTCCCACAACACCTACGGCTACTGGCATTCACCTGTATTTATACTTTGCACTCTAGTTTCATTCATTCCAAGCGCGGTGGCACTGCGGATTCCATCACATGATCAAGTAGCCTGGAGTACCCAGAATGCAATGGGGAAAGCCAAACAAGGACACTGGTATTCATGCTTTGAGAAAGGAAACATCAAAGCACGCGTTACGCCTCCAACTGTCAACATTTTGTCTTATTTGTCCGTTCTATTTTTAAATTTGGTTCCTTGAGTTACTTTAGTCATGTTGGCCTCCAGGACATCTACACCAAAATGACCGCGATCCACATTCGTACATCTCACACGGAGCCAATGCTATTATTAACCTATCCAGATATGTTCAGCGAGCATCATTCTTTTGTTCTGTGTCTTCTGTGACTCAGGGCAGCCATCTGACGAGATATTCACTGTAGCATTTAAGCATTTTTGTAGTCATCGTGGTGTGACATTTATTATGATAGCATTTCCTGTGTTTTCAGTGGCACACTGTATTATATTTAGAGACATTTAGATTATGCTTCGGTCGTGTAATGCATTTATATAATAGATTTCAACATGGTGTAATCTGGTTTAGGGTTAAAGATAATTTATGGGTTTAGGATTCTGGTTCCCTGCGTTACGGTCGACAACAACAAGAATAATGTTGGGACTCTTAGGTTGAAATTTTCGGGGTGGGGTGAGGTGGGTTGGTCTCGAACAAATTCTAAAGCTTAGTCAAGATCAGTTTGTCATGTGACGTTCATTAGAATTGTCCAATTCAAGATGATTTGAAAGGCGCCTTTCAGCGATGAGTTATCCCGTTTCCGTTACTTATGCGGAGGCGCCAAGAAGAACCGCTGTCTGATGCTGCCATCTGCTGTCCACTAAGGACAACTGCACGCGTTAAATAAAAGCCGAACTCCAGAGGCAAAACAGAAACGTAATTCCTAAATTCACACAGACATACCCACGCCTGCGACCCAGCGACAGCAATGCACGCACAGCTCTAATACATTTTGCGCGTCCTCTATGACCTTTTCCTTCTGTCATCGCTAAAGCAGCACCCTGCCCCTGCTGCAGGGCTTCCTGCGCCCGTGGTGAACTTCAGCATCGGCGGTGCGGCGCGACTCTGCGGATGACTCATCAGCCTGATGTGGCCCCCGTGTTAAATCTACCGCTCACCCCGGACAGGGGCTGGCAGCACTGTTTCCAAGGCGACGGGAGCTTTGCCTGCTGGAAGTCCCAGACTTTCAGGTTAAAATTTTGAGCATAAATATTTAAAATGCGCAAAATCCACGTAAAGAGCGGATCGCCTCCAGCGTTTTCACCTAATGTAACAAATTACACATTTACCAGACCAATCAGTAATTTCGGGAGAGATCGTCGTTTTTGATGATCTTTTCTTGCAATTTCATCGCCTTCTATAGACATGCTTGCCTGTACCGCTACATTACGCCAGCCGACAGTTACATCTCAGGATATTTACATTTATATCATATGTATATATCTACATTTGTATTAAATTAGCAGACGGACAAATCTGTAAAAGTACAATATCATTTTGGGGGCTGAGATGTGCGGTGTGCGATGACGCAGAATACCCATTGTCCTGCCGAATTAATACCCTCGCCAAATTATATCGACGTGTGTTGATACACACATAGCAATAAAAAGGTAGCTTTGATTGTTTTGTGTACAACATAAACGTAGATGCGAGTAGGAGGCGCGCGTCTAAATGGAAGGAGACAATTCGATGTCTCCCACTCGACCGCTATCATGCGTGGGATATTGCCGCGCCGCTATACGTTTTTATTAACTGTGTCAAAATAACACAAAACCAACCCATTTCGGGTACCAGCAAAAACCACTTTAGAGCCGCCAGAACAAAGAAAGCAATTTATCCCCCACACTCAGCTTCCCTCCTCTTTACAGTCACTAACAGGCATGATTGTCTGCACATGGGAACGGCTCTTCCGCCTGCGGACCCTCCGGTCTCGTAATGGCCGAGGGTTAATTACGTTAATAACCCGATTAATGCAGGCTGCACTGCTGAATGGACCTCAGAGTCGTACAGGAACCATGCTGCATGATTAGCAAATCTTTATAGTAGAATCAAACAGATAAATGCGTACAATTAATGTATAGCCTACATAAAAATTGGGAAAAGGGGTTTAAAAAATCTGGCTTCTAAATAGCTGGCAATTCATTTCGTATTCACTTAATGAACACAAAATTGTTTACAAATTAGCCTGCAAATTGCTGTCAAGAGCCATGTTACACTAACACAATACACAAAATGAACACTTTTAAATGAGCATTCGCTTTATTTGGAATAAAATACAACATTTTTGTTTTTTTTCCCGTTCTGCCAGAAAGTGTTGATAAAATTATGACTATCTAAAACAATAATCTTGAAAAATTGTAAAACGGAGAAACAGCCGACAGAGGGTTGTACACGGCTGAAAGGTCGGATTTAACGAGTTTAACACCCATGACCCGTAACCACGCAACGCAGCTGGTGGAGAATGGTTTAGTGGCGCCCTCTTCAGGGGGGTATATTTACTGCAGCATCTTTATTTCGACGAGTTATTGATGAGAAATAGATTCACTTGCTACGGAGAGAGAACAAGAGAGACGCCTTGGGAGCAAGAAAGCAAATAATGGACGAGGGATTAAGGGATGTAGGACAAAAGGGATGCAAATACAATTACGGAAGATGAGAAATGCTGAATGTAAAGAGTGGTTTAAGGACATGAAAGCTCTCAGAGAAATGGGCGATAATTACCAAGAGGAGGAATCTGGTCAGAGACATAAAGATGAACAATCTATGAAATGTCAAGGAGGCGAAGGAGGCTCGCAGAAGGCTTGCCCCCCCCCCCATCATATCACCTGAGCTCTTCACACAGGGAGCCGAATCCATGCCATACACCCAAACCATTTCTATACTAATATTTAACACAGTGCTCTTCTCGAATGAGTACCAGAATCACACCTATGTGTGTGCCTTATACTGATAAGAATATTTTCGACTGCGGCTTTTTTATCTGCAAACAGGACGTAGCCTAACATACAGATGCTGTTCCATTTAACAGATTTAACAGCATAATGCAGCTTCAATGAAAATGCGCGTTATTTCAAGTTTAAGCCCTACAACCTCTCCCTGATTCCTATTTGAAGGTCAGTTTTCCAAATCTCCAGGCACTTTTTTTCGCACGTCTTCCCCTGCCTCCGGTGAAATTGGACTTTGTTGCCGCTGTTCTGGCTTTCTGAACCCGCAGGTCTCTTCCATAACCGGCTTGTTCCAGGTGAGTGATCGAGGTGTCCCATCAGACAATATCCAGGTCATTTCTACAAAAGGGACTCGTTTCCCCCATCGTGGTCATTTGTTGATGGAAACCACATTAAATTTCAGAAATAAAATCGCCATCGACGTGTTTGCGTTTTGATTTAAAGAAGGCCGTTCTTTAAAACGTTAAACAATGAAAAATGTTCTGACGGGCTGTCATGACTTTACTTACCTCCACCACCTGTTAGAGTCCGTCTCAATCTGTACATTCACAAAAGAAACCCCGCCTCGTCATCCACTCTCTCTCACAAACACACAAACACCGCCATGTATTTCACGCTTAGATTTACTGCCTCCATAACTCCTCTTTAACCCTCTAAGTCCCAAATTTAGGCAAAAATAGTTCAAAAACCCGAAATCTGCGACAAACATGAAAGCACGTACAATGAAATAAATATTAAATCAATTCAACCACTGCTATTCACATTGACAGGAAGTCCTGTCAAGACTGTACGTAGTACGTAACTCGGGGGACGGATAGATAATTCTGGCCCCGCCCTATTCCTTTACACACACTTTTTAAAAACTAATATTGCTAATATAATGAGCTTCCCCCCTTCTTTTGATCTGAGAATATGAACAGACTAGAATAAGTTATTCTTACATCAGAACAATTTTAGTCTAGCATTTTTTTCTGCTGAGGCAATGAAGAACTACACAAAATCACCCCCACCACTACTATAGTCATACATACATATGTATATAAAACATTATCCATTATAGGGTAGTAGAATAGATAGGAGGGGAATGATTGATGTCATAAATCTCATTATTACATCACCATTGTCGACCTTGTCATTCCGGCTGTATTATGAAGTAAAAAATCCGGCGTGTTCAGTTCATAGTGGATGTGTGTTGGATCAGATGGAACCAGAACTGTCCTTGGAGTCTGTCTCTGACTCGGGTACCGGTGTGTGTGTCTGTGTGTGTGGGTGTCAGTGACGGCATCTGTGTGTGTGGAATCTGCCTCGTTTCGTGACCGTGTTGTGACTTGTCGATCCGCGGGGGGG